AGGGGCTGCGAGCCCGCGCAACTTGAGAACGCCCGGAGGCCGAACAATCACAGGAGGAAATTGATCCGGCGGAGGCATTGGGGTGCCTAAAAAGGCTGCAACGATGTCCAATACGCCCAGCGCCCATGCGCGAAAACTCGTTTCGGCGATGATAATCCGCAAGACTTCTGAGGTCGCACCAGCAGCATACAGCTCCCACGAGCTAGGCTCTGTCATGTTGCCGCACGCTACGATCCGACTCTTTCGTCGGTACAAATGAGTCTCACGCTCTTGCCTGGACATTGACGGCGCATTCATTGAGGCCTCAGTCTCCAAAGCCCCTTGGTTGGGAGGCTTCACGGTATACACTACTTTAGCCGGCAGTTCAATCACACCACCCTGGGACTGCAGTTGCTGATGAAGCTCATCATCTTGCACGAACCTCTGAATGGCAGGTTCCAATGCCGTCAGTTCCTTCTCCAGTGAAGGAACCCACCGGTCAATGTGCTGTCTGGCCTCTCCCGGATCAACCAAATGCACAACGCCAAGAGGCGCAGTCAATCCATCAAGCACTGCTTCGATGCCTGTGGTGAATGACTGCTCTAATTTTCGCACGTACATGGCTTCTGACGGCATGGCAGTGAAGGAAACTTCATGTGGACCTGAGCTCGACAACGGAAGAGCCAGAGTTACAGATCCCACCACATCGTGGAGAAAGGTCACCTGCTCCGAACCCTCAGCACTACCTGAGCTCTGCTCGTTAGGTTGCTGTCCGTTCAGAACAGATAAAAACGCACATTCCTCTTCTTGGGTTCTACGCTCAAAAGAGGAGACATCACAAGGAACTGGGCTCTGGTGGCCAACTGTGAGTTCCCAGCACCCTGCGACTGCAGAGAAGGTGATGAAGGTTTAGGCTCAACCTTAAGCCCCCAATCAACCGAAAAATCAATGACAGAGTCAGAGGTCTGAACTTGTTCGCTCCACCCTCCTCTCTTAACAATCGGAAGTGGCTCAACACTGGAAGAGCTGACAGTTCCCGGTTTGACATCCTCAAGCCGAGGTTCATCGTGTGTTTGCAGTGGGGCACGAAGCACAGCCACCCTACATGGCTGCTCGCTAGTGTAGGATAAATCAGTCCCTTCAGGCATCGGAAAGCCTAAACCCTGAAGACGCTCTGCCAGGTCTGATTCTACCTTGCCCAAATCTTGAATTGTGTATCCCACCAGCACTAATCTCTGTCCCACGTAACTAGTGACTGCATGCCTTCGCCTTGGATCCAATAGCGCGGGCTGCAGTGTTCTGAGACGCCGCACCGTCCCAAAGAATCTTTCACCCTTGGGTCCAATCATCTCGCTCACAGTTCCTTGCAGAACGTCACCCGGCCTTACCTCCGACCAATGATGACCTCCAGTCTTTGGCATCACAACTGGAAGAATGATGTTGTACGTTCCAGGAGCATTTCCCGAATCCATGTGCAGCCCTTGAGGGGCTCCGGATAAAAGGAGGGAGGTGTACATGGCTCCTGGTGCGTAATGCAAGAAGAAACGATTCAGCAGCTCCGTAAACTGCTCATCTTGAAAGGTTGCCGGGTGAACTCCAACGATTCCTCCACGCCTGAAGAGACCTGTTTTGTGTTGCGAACTGGTAGCATTTTGACACCATTGCAGAAGGATCTTTCTTGCCACAACAGGATCCCAATCATTCAGAACTGCCTCAAGTTTCGCACGAAGGCTCAAATCTTCATCAAGAACCTGAACCCCTTTTGCCTCAACTGAAGCCTGTGGTCGCTTCCCTACAATACGG